CACACACACACACACACACACACACACACACATACTCTCTCTCTCACTCACTCTCTCTGTAATCAAGTCTTAGTGTCCATCCACACTGACCTCTTTTACTGTATCCTCCACCGCCAACCTCTGAGTCCCCTTCACAAAGAAAGGATACGGCGTGGCGTACCTGCTAGGGCACCCCTCAGGTCGCCAGCCTCTCTTCTTCAACCAGGACGACATACTGGAACTTACTACTTACTGAGGGGGGGGGGGATCGCTGTGAGTGAGACAGCGTAGTGAAACCTTTTTGTCCTTTTTCAAAATTTTCCTTTTTTGGGGGGTAAGAGTTTGCCGGCACTTGCAACACAATAAGTTCATATGAGTGTCGAAGATTAGAGGTGTTACAAGAGAGTAACAAACACAGAAAATAAGTAGGGGAGATCAGGACGATATATGTTTGATAGGAAAGAAGGAGCAAACTACACCAAAGCACCCGCCAACCACCCACAGTGGTGAAACCAGGCGCTCATCAAAATAATGAAATCGAAGAAACCGCCACTTTTCCGTCGTTTTTTGGCGATTCTTTCGAAGTTTTATTTTTGGGGGGTCAGCACCTTTTAGGCTCATTCAAAAACACAATTGTGTCAGGACGTGGTGGAATCAGGCACTCGTCTATGTTTGGGCATATAGAGTTAATGTTATTATCTTAAAGCTTGTTTATTTGTCTTGGTTTTTGGTGGGGAAAAAATACCCTTCTATAATCTATAGAAGTCGAGATATTTGCAATTGAAGGGGGTGGGGGTCGCCTTGTTTCAGAGGTAACATTTGTGAGAAAATGGACGCCAAAGTTGGGAGACTTCTAAAGCTTTAGAGTTCTTGGAAACTGTAAATGTACATTTTCTGTGCCTTTAATCAAGTTTTTCCAGTAAAATCCACACAGTAATGCATTTTAATGGACATAAAAGATGTTGAGCCGAAAGATAAAAATTCATCAAAAATTGCATACAGAAAAAAATGCATTTTCCTTCGATTTCATTATTTTGACGAGCGCCTGATTTCCCCACGATGCCTCACATTTCTTTGCGGATTTTAATTAAAAACGTTGAGTAAAGCCACAGAAAAGTAAACTTTTAGTTTCCATGATCTCTTAAACTATGGAAGTCGCCAAACTTTAGCGGCCATTTTCTCGCTAATTTTACCTCAGAAACCAGACGACCCCTACCTTCTTAATAGCAACTATGTTGACTTCTATTTAAGATAGATGGGTACTTTTTTCATTAAATACAAGGTAAATGAACAAGCCTTTGGATGACACCAATAACTCTCATGCCCAGAAATTGATGAGCGCCTGATTCCACCGTATCATGACATGACACGGCATACTTTGCCCTAATTTCGTTCAGAAAAGGTGTTCGTAAAGATAAGGATATCCAGTTCGTCGACATAGTGTTATAAAAAAAGTAACCTGCTCAACTAGCCAGTTGCTTTATTCGGCGATAGAAAATCGATCCACAGCTTGGTACGTGATCAAACTATGGAAATGAACTTGCTATCAGGACATTATCGGACATGGCATTGTCCATCTGCGTTCCATAAATATGTCCACTTTTAGAGATATTCAAAGAAGTGCATTCGAAATAGCTTGACATGTTGTGAAACACAACATTTTTAAAGTCAACATAATCAAAAGTGGGTTTCT